CCTTTGAATTTTCTTTCGAAATTGGTTTCTAGTCCATAACTTTTGATTGAGACCTGCGTAGCTCAGAAGAGCTTACGTTAGAAGCTCTAACTTTGGCTACAAGGGTCCTGGGTTCGAATCCCAGGTAAGGCATGGCTGTTTGTGATTGTATAGTGGGTTGAGTGGGAAGAGTAGCAATTGCTAACACTCCGCCCACTATAAAATAAAGGCAATAAAAAAAAATAAAAAAAAAAGTCCGATCGAAAAAGTACGAATTGTTTTGGATTCTACACACCAAAATTAATAAGAAAAAGTGTTTTCCCGAGAAATTTTGGTGCAGTCGATTTTTGGTAAAAAAGGAAGGTTATACACTGCCTTTTTTTGAGCCCCGAAAAAAAAATTCTCAGATCGATCCGAAAAAATTTTTTTTATAGAATGTGGCCTGTAGAATCCATAATTTCAAACAGTTCCAAGATTGGGCTACTAGTTCAAAAGTTACAGCCCTTTGAATTTTCTTTGGAAATTGGTTTCTAGTCTATAACTTTTGATTGAGAAGTCTAATCGAAAAAGTACGAATTGTTTTGGATCTACGCACCAAAATTAATAAGAAAAAGTGTTTTCCCGAGAAATTTTGGTGCAGTCGATTTTTGGTAAAAAAGGAAGGTTATACACTGCCTTTTTTTGAGCCCCGACAAAAAAAATTGTCTCAGATCGACTCCGGGAAAAAAAATGTCTTATAGAATGTGGCCTGTAGAATCCATAATTTCAAACAGTTCCAAGATTGGGCTACTAGTTCAAAAGTTACAGCCCTTTGAATTTTCTTTCGAAATTGGTTTCTAGTCTATAACTTTTGATTGAGAAGTCTGATCGAAAAAGTACGAATTGTTTTGGATTCTACGCACCAAAATTAATAAGAAAAAGTGTTTTCCCGAGAAATTTTGGTGCAGTCGATTTTTGGTAAAAAAGGAAGGTTATACACTGCCTTTTTTTGAGCCCAAAAAAAAATTGTCTCAGATCGACCCGGAAAAAAATTTTCTTATAGAATGTGGCCTGTAGAATCCATAATTTCAAACAGTTCCAAGATTGGGATACTAGTTCAAAAGTTACAGCCCTTTGAATTTTCTTTCGAAATTGGTTTCTAGTCTATAACTTTTGATTGAGAAGTCTGATCAAAAAAGTAAGAATTGTTTTGGATTCTACGCACCAAAATTAATAAGAAAAAGTGTTTTCCCGAGAAATTTTGGTGCAGTCGATTTTTGGTAAAAAAGGAAGGTGATACACTGCCTTTTTTTGGGCCCCGAAGAAAAAATTGTCTCGGATCGATCCGGGAAAAACATTTTCTTATAGAACGTGGCCTGTAGAATCCATAATTTCAAACAGTTCCAAGATTGGGCTACTAGTTCAAAAGTTACAGCCCTTTGAATTTTCTTTCGAAATTGGTTTTTAGTCTATAACCTTTGATTGAGAAGTCTGATCGAAAAAGTACGAATTGTTTTGGATTCTACGCACCAAAATTAATAAGAAAAAGTGTTTTCCCGAGAAATTTTGGTGCAGTCTATTATTGGTAAAAAAGGAAGGTTATACACTGCCTTTTTTTAAGCCCCGAAAAAAAAATTATCGACCCGGGGAAAAATTTTTCTTATAGTATGTGGACTGTAGAATCCATAATTAATCTGAAAATCTGAAAGGAAAACGAAAATTCCTCGGTTTTTAGTATATTTGACTATGTTGCGTTCGCCGCTCGAGGTCGAAAACTTGAATTATACATTGGGTTAACAACATAAGCAATCCCACAAAAAATCAGAACTACCGGATTTGACGCTTGGCCCCCCCCATTTTTAGGAACAAAGTTACTGGACTATTTAGATCTAGCTGCACTTACTTTAAACCCTTGCAAACATTCTTTGCACACGTAATTGATGTGAGTTTGGTTTGTGAAGAGCGAGTCGACGATTAGGCCGCCTTCAACGCCGCTCATAAAGGTCCGTCTGGGATAGGCATCAAAGTTGTCCCCCGGCGGATAACCACCTTCGAGTGACCACTGTCGACTTTTACTTGAGTGATGTGAAGTATTAAATTGGACCCTTAAAACGTCAGCGAAATTTTTTAATCAGCGATGAAACAAAGGATCACGATGGGCAGTCGAGTCGACGATTAGGCCGCCTTCAACGCCGCTCATAAAGGTCCGTCTGGGATAGGCATCAAAGTTGTCCCCCGGCGGATAACCACCTTCGAGTGACCACTGTCGACTTTTACTTGAGTGATGTGAAGTATTAAATTGGACCCTTAAAACGTCAGCGAAATTTTTTAATCAGCGATGAAACAAAGGATCACAAATGGGAGATCTTATGCAAACTTGTCTTTCTCTGAGTGAATAAGCAGAATGGTTACCAATGCTATAGTTTCCTATTTGTGGATAGTGCAGGAGACGACATCATGGTTGACAAATGAAGAGTCAAAGTTATTTAAAAAAAAGTGTACTTACTCATGGTCCATTATTTCCTCATACGGCAGCATGTTAAATGTATAACAAACCCCTTCAGACGTGTAAGTGGCCACGAAGGCTTCATAACTACTCAAACCACTCCCTAGCCATGTAACTCGAGCATAGCGAAGAGGCGCAAAATATGGCTGTATCTACGTCTACCTCCAGCAATTTTTCATGTGCTGATTAATCACTTACCCGAAACAAAGTATTTTCTCCATTGTAGGGAAGGGTGTTACTCCAGTTTGAGGTATCAAAATATCTGTCACATATCAAGTAGGCCAGCTCCAACTGCTCCAGCCTGAAAGAACACTAGGTCACGTGTACGTTAGTGCAACCTGGTTGGGAATACTCGTGAGTTGAAAAGTTTCCACCTTGCCGATTTCTCAGCACCATTTCGGTAATGTTAAACACTTCTGGATTAAATTTCGCTTCAGGGCAGATCGTTACAGCCGGAAATGGTATTTGGTGTATAGGCGTCTCGCTTTTCGCAAACGTTACAACAGTCGGTGAGGTTGTCCACTTGGAGTACATTTTGTGAATTAAAGTAACGCAACACGCACAAACTACGATTAGTACCGCAATCCATAGCAACCTGCAACTGTAAATGAGACTACCGTTCGACAACATCCACAACCTTTCGACGATGAAACGTCCCCGCTCTCCAACGTACTTGATGCCATGGATCGTGGTGGATTCGCAGTATTGCACCAAGTACGTTTTCCAATTTTCAAATTTTGATCTATCACACAATGCATCTGGTTTCCAAGTTTTTTTGGTCGCTTTCATTTTAAACATTACCACTCGAGCGGTTGCCTCAGATTAGTTATTGATGGAAAGTTAATTGGATTATTCCTCATCACGATTGATTACCACAACATAGGGTGTATTTACGAAATTACAACAAGCGGGGTCATAAATCACTTCGATTAAATTATATTGTAGTCACACCTTCACTCCATTTGCACCGTCTAATAAATTATATTGGTAATGTAAAAGGTAATAATAATAATACGATATAAAACTTATGAATGCCAAAAGCAGCATTATACTTAGTTGCGATAATAAGGAGATTATTTTTTGGAATTATGCTTTTGGGCACTTTTAACTGAGTTATCCTTTGAATACGGCTAAAATTTGTGTGACTAAAAACAATTTTGTTTCCTTTTTCTAAATACACGATAATCACTTCCTTGGAGTCCAAGACAAACACGGTCGTTCAAAAATCTCTCCAAATTAATCCATACCTACAACGAACACCCTGCGGGAATGAATGCAACAAAACACAAATTAATTAGCAGTGTCTACGGGAGCATATTCAGGGAAAGAATATCCCCCCCCCCCCCCTCATAATTAATGAACCGGAAACTAACAAAAAGCTTACCTTGCAATGAAACGGAGCGGCAAAATTACTCTGCAAGAAAAAGCAAATCATATAGATACGGTGCGGTAAACTTTTACTTAATGTGAAAGAAAAAGTTAAACAGTATGAATATAAAATTAATTTACGGGAGAGCTCAAAATTACGGTAATTACGAAATTTCACTTGCGGAAATCGCCCCAAAATTAAGCGTTTGTCTTTTATAAAATTCGGTTATCCCATGGAGGGAATGTAGGAAATTTCAAGTCGGCCGGCGTATTCGGTTATCGACATTCAAAAATTGCAACTTTTAATTAATTGTGCGGCCTGCTGACGTTCTAAAAATCTGAAATTGGTCCTAAAGTTCAAATCAAAGCCCTTCTTTTGATACCCCACACCACTGTGTGGAATGGGGTTTACTGAAACAGATTTATTTAGCTACTTAATTTCACTTACTTAATTGGCCGGATTGAAATTTGTAAAATTGGTACGCCAATTAACACGTATTGGTAATTGCAATGTTGCGATCAATCGGCGAGGTCGGCGGTATCAAGGTGGCAACGGCGTGAATCTGGCTGGCCTTGCAGTTTTAATGCTCGTTTTAATTTATCATAGGACACAAAAACCTGATAATAATGGCTTAACGTAGTTGAAATTCAAAAATATTAATAATTCGCCCTTTTCTTCTAAATGACAAGAGCTTTCGGGCGCAACAAAAGCAATTGAAATATCTCCACGACCACAGTTACGTATAAAGTATTCAATTCGAAACTTACGTGCTTTATCGGTAGTAAGACAAACAGTTAAACAAAATGAAAGCACACAAACTACGGCTTCTTAGTAACGAAGCGCCCAACTATTCGTCTATATACAGGGTCGTTATCATGGTGCGGGTAAAGTTCAAGGCTGGAAACGGGTGTTTTGTTACATTCTTTAAAACCCTTGTACTGAATATTCAGACGAATTGCATTCTTAAAATACAGGATATGGCCTAATCTTGATTCTGCGGTTTTGGAGCATGCAAAGGTAATTAAGATAGACGTTTTCTACTATTATCGCTGATAGGTTGGAAACAACGATTTCCGGAAGTCATGATGAGGTCAACACGCTATAGAATTTAAATAATCAGAAAGAAAATGATCGCTACACTTAAAATCTACGCTACGACTCCCACACACGCACTTAAATTTACTAACATTTTCACAACAATTTAAAAACAAGTTAAAAAAAAGTCTCTCATGTGCTTTCACTAGACTTCAGGGCATTTTTGATGTGAAAACCAGTAGCTAAGTGACATCAATAGCCTTCACACCATTGAGTAATTTTCTTTTCCTCGCTTCCGCGGTTATTATCGGATCATACCGTTCCAGAATTTCCTAGCCAGGGCACGCATCTTGCGGTGCTATGGGGGTGGAATGCATGGGATGAACTGGAAGAAGTACAAAGAAATTGTAAGCACTGGAACTAGTTGTGGATTAGTAGAGGAGGAGGATAGTGAAGAATGGAGAAGAAAAAATCGCTTTTTACTTGACACGCCATAGTAATATTACACCCTTCTAAAGGTATAAATATTTGACGCGCTGCAGAAATTTTACCCCTCCAACACAAGAATTTCCATTAAAAATTCCCTTGAAAATTATACAGATCTATTTTAAAAGATACATACAAGTTTTTGAATGATTGGTAATTAAACCCCGTTTTTCCGTCAAATTCGCCAAACCACTATTTTAAAAATGATTACCTCAAAAAACCATGGCTTATAAAATGTTTTCTGAGGAACAAATTATATTTATATTGGGTGATTTCGCAAATGGATTGTTCCTTAACAGTCCTTCATATATTAAATAAACATTTTCAGAAGCATCCCCCACGTCTAGATGGGATCTTCGGAAAATGTAAGAAGCCCTAAGGAAATCAATAAATATTTGTTTGTAAATCATTTTCCGAAAAATTATTGAAAAACACTTGACTATTTTTTAAGATACTTAAATATGCATACCCACCTGAAAACCCCCCAAAGGTTTCTTAAACGTTTTTTTAGATTTTTTAATGGTCCCGAAGTAACTTCTATTCTCTAATTCTAGAGAATACCCTTGTAAAATTTTTCAGTGTTTCAACGCATTATTCAAAACCCATTCCAGCACATTTAGATATCCTGGTATCTAGACAGGATCTATGAAGAATTTAAGGATCTTTAAGGCGCCCCTAGAGTATCAACTTGATACTCTTAGTAAACATTTAATCAAATTGAACAATCCTGAATATCAAGATTTTAGTAGCCCTTCGGTTTTCAGTGACCTCGAGAATATCTGCGTATCAAGAATCTGTTACCGAATAGAATTAGAAACAGTCGTCCAATTGTACATAAGTAAGTAAGAAAAAGTGTTTTCCCAAGAAATTTTGGTGTAGTCGATTTTTGGTAAAAAAGGAAGGTATTACACTTTTTTTTGAGCCGCGAAAAAAAATTGTCTCAGATCGACCCGGAAAAAAATGTTCTTATAGAATGTGACCTGTAGAATCGATAATTTCAAAGAGCTCCAAGATTGGGCTACTAGTTCAAAAGTTACAGCCCTTTGAATTTTTTTTCGAAATTGGTTTCTAGTCTATAACTTTTGATTGAGAAGTCTGATCGAAAAAGTACGAATTGATTTGGATTCTACGCACCCAAATTAATAAGAAAAAGTGTTTTCCCGAGAAATTTTGGTGTAGTCGATTTTTTGGTAAAAAAGGAAGATAATACACTGCCTTTTTTTGAGCCCCGAAAAAAAAATTGTCTCAGATCGACCCGGAAAAAAAATGTCTTATAGAATGTGGCCTGTAGAATCCATAATTTCAAACAGTTCCAAGATTGGGCTACTAGTTCAAAAGTTACAGCCCTTTGAATTTTTTTTCGAAATTGGTTTCTAGTCTATAACTTTTGATTGACAAGTCTGATCGAAAAAGTACGAATTGTTTTGGATTCTACGCACCAAAATTAATAAGAAAAAGTGTTTTCCCGAGAAATTTTGTTGTAGTCGATTTTTGGTAAAAAAGGAAGGTTATACACTGCCTTTTTTTGAGCCCCGAAAAAAAAATTGTCTCAGATCGACCCGGAAAAAAAATTCTCTTATAGAATGTGGCCTGTAGAATCCATAATTTCAAACAGTTCCAAGATTGGGCTACTAGTTCAAAAGTTACAGCCCTTTTCGAAATTGGTTTCTAAGTCTATAACTTTTGATTGGAAGTCTGATCGAAAAAGTACGAATTGATTTGGATTCTACGCACCCAAATTAACCCTAGTTCATTGGCCACTAAAACTTTCAAGTTTACGGGCGTGGGGTGGAACGAACCCCACTCTAACTGTCGCCACCTGCGCGCCGTGTTTCCATGCATAATCTCAGAAAAAAAACTTATGGACATTGAAAGTGGCTGTGGGGTGCGATCCACCCCAGACCTGTAAACTTGAAAGTTTTTCTAAAAGTAGTGATAAAATAAAAACTTAAATCCTAAGAACGCCAAAAACGCCAAAAACGATAAAAAAAAGACAAACTTGGAAGGTACTCGAGCTCCCAGGCCAAAATATTGAAAGAAAAAAAACTTATGGACATTAAAACTGGCTGTGGGCTGCGATCCACCCCAGACCTGTAAATTAGGGTTAATGAAAAAACAGCCCTAATATAACTTAAGAATTATGTACAAATGAAGGAATCCAACAAAATGAACAAAACCTAACCGAGAACATCTACTTAACAAGTTTGTGATAAGAAGTGCATATCAAAAATTAAAATAAGTCAGAAATGGAACAGAGGATTAGAACAGGAAGGAAAGAAGTCCGGAAATTATAAAAAAAATTATCAAAAAGAAAAGACGACAGTTAGAAATTAAAATTATTATATAAAGCTGGACTGATTTGTATGAATTTTTACAGTTTCCTCGTATTTCTTCCATTTTGAAATCCTGTAGACGCTTCTGATTCCTATGATCCACCACATTATTCAGGTTTTGTAGAAATCGCACACTTTTGTTATCCTTTAGATTCTTCCTTTCTTTTCTCTTAAAATTGTTCCAATTGTTCAAGTGCAGGTTTTTTCATGAGATTCACATTTTTAAGATTTCTAGTGACCCTAAATTCACTTTTTTGATCATTGTGTCCCGATGTTTGCCCTTTTTTTTAATTCCTCCGATTTTTTGGTTTCGTTAATACTCCCCTGCGCTATGCGCTTTCGCAAAACGCTAAGCTCAAATGGCTCTTGCCATAAAAAGAGAGCATCGAATCTTCCTTTTTTTCCTTCTCTATAGCACACGTGTCGCTGGTGCTATGTTCAATTGCCACTTGCCCAAAATTTATAAAGTGAGTACTAAAGTCACTAATCTTTTTGTGTAAAAACATAGAATCGAGAGGTTTGGAGATATCGACTATTCCCTAGTAAAGCAAAAATCGATGACCGATTCCCTACAATCATCATTACCATTATGTTAGTATGAGGTTTGGGGTTGTACAAATAATCTACTAAATTCTGTTTCTTTGTTGTTATACAAGTTAGGTAAACACCCCTTTATTTAAAGTAGATACAGAATAAAATACAATACTTTTATTTCTAACACAAAAAAAACGCACATTTACTTGGTCTTCGCAGAATCTTGTGTTCCAGACCATGACTTGATGCCGTACAGTTTGATGTTGGACATAATTCGAAACGTGCAAAAGTATAGAATTTCCACTGCAGATGTGACAGAGAAACCAATAAATAATCCTAGAAGTCCGCCCATGTTCGAAAAAAATTCGAGCAAACCGTACAATTCGTTCCTTTGGCAGCTCAGGAACAGCAACTCCTTATAATAGACGTACAACGTTGAAAAGTGCGCGCTGTAACACATCTTGTCTTACACGTATAGTTACTTGGGGAGAAAGCTACTTTTTAAGATTGATTCCTCCACTACGCGATATATTCATTGCGTCGAATGCCTTTTTCCATCTCCACTCCGATTGTGAGGTTTCGACATCGTACGACAAGGAGGTGCAAGATGGTAGACATTCGCACTGTTGCTCCTTTGATTCGGAATTCCCCTCAATTTTTAAATAGTTTACTGAAATTGCATATTATATTTGTAACACCAAACGATGAAACTCACATTTACTCTCCTTCACGCAGTGGTCACGCCCTGGACCGCAAACTGGAACACTTTCATTGACTACTACAAACCAAACTTAATGAATCTGTTAGTCAACTGTCATCAACTTACAAGCAAAATAAAACGGTGTGCACCCGCAAATACTATAGGTGTAGTTAGCTAAGCATTCATCAAGACAATTTTGCTGAGTATAGACTAAGAAGCTGGCTAAATACTTCTCGTTAGCAAAATAACACTTCCTGACACTTGGGGGGTAATTCCACAGCTCTCGCGATACTGTTATTAAAGACGGTTTTATCGCAACCAGTAATGCCTGATTTAAAGGAAGTCTAAAATGCTTCTCCATGTTGGGAAACTCGCATGGGAGATGTAAAGCAATCTACAAGTTAGAGGGTGCGTTTTCACGATTCAATCCTACCAACCTTAAATCCTTGCAGTGATTCCATGCACAAAGCGTCTATGTGGCTATCGTTTGTGAAAATTCCTCTAATGGTTAACCCGCCATTCACTCCTGGTACGAATGTCCTCCTCGGGTACTCGTGCTCGTCGTCACCAGGAGAGTAACCTTGTTCTAGCGACCATGAGAGGGTTCTCTTGGTTAGATCTGTAGAATAATTGTGCCAATCTCCATCAGGCCTAAAAAGGTAGTGGTAGATTTTATGGTTTGAGAGAGATGATCAAACGTACTTAATTCGCAGTATCTGATAAAAAGGCAACATGTTAAACGTGAAACACATGCCATCCGGTGTCGGAATCAAGATTAGTTCATCATTGTAGTCTAACATCCGCCCCATCCACTTTAAAGTAGTGGTACTCAGTGGATCAAACTCGGGGAGCATCTACGCACATGGGATTGTTTTCAGAACATTTAATGATAGAGTTACCTCAAGAAGATGACTGGCTACATTCTCCAATGTACGGTTCAAATTCGCCGTAAAGTTTCCGAGTTCCATTGCGTCTTTGCAGATCAAGGAAGCGAACGGTAGATGTATTTTCCTAAAACAGTTTTCTCATAACTTGAGCAATTTTAAAAATAATAATCACTCTTGTTGTGTTAGTTTCCTTCCAAGAACCATTTTCCTCAACGTACGAGTGAAGTTAAACACTTCCACGTCGAATTTGACATCCGGACAGACCGTGACGGCTGGAAATGGAATCCTGGAGATGGAGGTCTCCTGGGTCGCGAATGTTACGATCACAGGTGAACGCTCCCACTTTACGTACGCCTTGTGAATCAAAGTTAGGCAGTAAGCACAGAGAAATATCCACGTGGTAGTCCACGCGAGCCTAAAATATTACGTGCAGGTTGCGAATCGCCAATTTCCTTACCTCTCCAAAAACAATCGACCGCGTTCTCCGATGTACCGTATGCCGTGAATGGTAGTTGTCTCGCAATATTGCCTTAGGTAATTGCGCAAATTTTTGTAAGGTACGGATTTTTGCTCCTTAACCGGCGAACTTTGTTTTAATAGTGGTGATACTTTAACTAATTTTGCTTCATATATGCTTCCTAATTTCAGTATAGGGAGGTCTTCGTGTAAAATTTTTACATTTTTTTGCGACATTCTTGCCTTGGGGCAAAGAGGCAAATGCGTATTTCAAAACAAATGACTACACATTACTGACACGGCGTGTACCACGTAAAAATCAATTTTGGAAGGATTGTTATTTGTAAATTAACAAACTTTTCGCCTTTCTCATTAGCCTACATAATTTAATTAAAAACGTGAACTTGGATATACCATTAAATTTTCCCAGAGGTCAATAGTTACCCGCGGAACGCCCATTTCTATACGCAAGTACTGGGGGTCGCCTGCAATCGAAAGAAAGAGATAAAGATACTAGACTGCGTGGTGACAAAACGGGAGGTTATACTATTTCTTGTTGCAAAAATGACTTGCCTCAGATTTCTGACCCGAAAAATATGCAAGTGCAGATTCAACTTTAAAAAAACGGGTAGGAGGAGTTGACTCCTCGGTTCACTGGTGCTACTCTCAGTGGGGGTTCAAGCAATTCTTGGTCCCATAAGCTTACGTCAAAAGTACTCATATTACCGGAACTTCGGATCTAGATAAATCCCAGATGTACTTAGAAGCACTTTGCCATAAAAGGGCGACTTTTACTCTTTGAAATTGACTCAGATGATACTGTGACTGGCTCTTCCAGTAGATCTACTTGATCTTTAAGCTTAGTTGCACTGATTATTCACAATTTTAACACGCTTTATCAATATGTGCCAGGTTATGACCAGAACCACAACAACCATATGATTTGCAGATTGAAAAAGGTTTTTGTCCATTATGGTGACGTTTTCAAAGGGAACTAAAAGCTAATGAAGATTTTAATAGGGCTCTAAATGAGACCTTTTTTGGAAATAGTCAAGTTTAGGTCAGATATGGACTCTTCTAACGCCCTGTGATCATTTGAGGATGGTAGATGGAAAGAGTTGTCGCTCAAAGCGTTTCTTTCTGTTCTGTTTATAATGCGAGTAAAGCGGTGCCCTTGTTTTCGGGTCTCCAGGTGATCGTATAATATTCACTACCGTGTCAGCTACATCTAGTTTGTTTTGCTAGGGCTTCATCAATTTCTTCCACTATAGGGGCATCCTTTATAGTCTAAGCGGTACATATTAAAAATCGAAAAAATCTGACGAACAATGCAGAAAGCAAGCCACTTGCCATAAACGATGTGTATGTCCAATAGATTGATTTGACCCGCAGCACCCCCCTCCCACACCCTGTGGAACCAATATGGCGGCCATTCAGGAAAAAAACTGTCACTGACTAAAAATATATATATATATATTTATATTTCAAGGATGACATGCAGGTGATCGTTTAAGGATAATTTGAGGTCGCTGATTTCAAATCTGCTACAAAAAAATCAAAATTCAAGCAATTTACACTCTAATTAGTCATTTAAATATTATAAAAATACTTCTTCTTGTTAATATATTTTTTTTTGTTTTAATGTCGATCTAAATCATAAAATAATTATTGAATAAATAATTAGAATTTTGATTTTGTAAAAAAATACATTTTACTAATAAAAAGTAAAACCATCTTTAGTTTAAAAATTCGTAGAGGGCGAAGGAGGGGGGACATTCTGCGTTATGCGCGATTTGCGAGGCGAAGCCGAGCTATGGACCGTTACAAGCGAACGGAGGCGAGCGTATGTCTCTTCAAATCCAAAAAGTGTTACCAAAATTAAAAAATCTTATGTGCAATTATGTGCAGACCTGGATTCAACAAGGAAATTTTCAAAAAAATGCCATTTTGTATAGGTGATGTTTCCAAAAAACAAAAATATCCCTCGCAAATAAAAAAAAATTGTCAATTTAGTCTGCTTAATATCATTTTCTTACCCCACCAAAACTGAAACTGAGAAATTGTCTCTGTTGAACACTGAACAGTCGAGGCGAAGCCGAGCTATGCACCTTTACAAATCACAGTGAGGCGAGGCCGGAGCCGAGCGGATGTCTCCTCAAAAGCAAAAAGTGTTAAGTGTTAATTAAATAATGTTATGTACAATTATGTGCAGATCTGAATTCAACAAGTGGAATCCATATTTTCAAAAAAAGCTATGGACCGTTACAAATCAGAACGAGGCGAAGCGGCATAGCCGCCAGAGCCCAGCGTAGGTCTCATCAAAACCAAAAAGTGTTCCCAAAATTAAAAATTCTTATGTGCAGACCTGGATTCGACAAGTTGCACCGAAATTTTCAAAAAAAGTCACTTTGTATTAAATAATAATATTGCCTTTATTACGAAATTATATAATGTAAATAAAATTAAAACGAAAATAATCTAGGCGGAGTTCAACACGTTGACCTGGACGTACAACTGTTGCTCTACCACTCAACCTAGTGTATCATTCACACGTTATACACATACATATAAAATAATTTTTTTTTTACAAATCTAATATGATTGCTCACTTAATAACCTACACTTCATGTTTTTTTTAAAAGACAATAACGAAGGAGAATTTTTGAATATATTAAAATATGTATTGTAGCAGGTAGTAAACTGATAAATAAATGACCGTTCGAAAAAGTGAGTATTGTGGAGAGGGACATCTAGCAATCCCCTATGTCGTAGATTTAAATTATGCACGTCAGTTCTAAATCTTAACCTCGTGAATAGGTATGGAGGCGATTTGGATCTTAAAATCGTATAGTATAATGAAGCAGAATGTACGTATCTGCAATTATTCATGTTCAACCACTCGGTCGCCACAAGTGCTTGTGATATTCCACGATCATACTTACGAATACCGTAAATTAACCTTAAACAAGAGTTTTGAAGCTTTTGGATTCTCTTTTTGTTATGGTTTGTTAAACATGGATGGTAAACTACGTCACAATGATTAAAAACAGATAGCACTAAAGAGTCGCATAATAATTTCTTTAAGTCAGCAGTAAGGTATTCACGATTTACAAAGATTTGCTTTAAGTTAGCAAAAGCACGCTGAAGTGTGTCGAATTTTAAGGAATAGTCCAGATGTAAACCAAGGTTTTTGACACAGTCTACCAGTTGCAATTTTGAAATGATGTTTTCAAAAAACCAAAATATTCTTCACAAATTAAAAAAAAAAGTGTAATTCAGTCTGCTCAATAGCATTTTCTTAGCGCACCAAAACTGAAACTGAGAAATTGTCTTTGTTGAACAGTAAACAGTACGAGCCCAAGCCGAGCTATGCACCGCTACAAATATGTCTCATCGAAACCAAAAAGTGTTATCAAACATTAAAAAATTTCATGTGCAGACCTGTAATCGATTGCATCGAAATTTTCAAAAAAAAGTCACTTTGTATAAGTGATGTTTCCAAAAAACAAAAATATTCCTCACAAATAAAAAAAAATGTAAATTCAGTCTGCTCAATAGCATTTTCTTACCGCACCAAAAGTGAAACCGAGAAATTGTCTTTGTTGAACAGTAAACAGTGCGAGGCGAAGCCGAGCTATGCACCGCTACACATCAGAGCAAGGCGAGGCGGCAAAGCCGCCGGAGCCGACCGTATGTCTCATCAAAACCAAAAATTGTTACCAAAATTAAAAAATCTTATGTACAATTATATGCAGTTGAATCGAAATTTTCACAAAAACTCACTTTGTATAGATGATGTTTCCAAAAAAACGAAAATATTACTCACAAATTCAAAAAAATTGTCAAGTCAGTCTGCTCAATATCATTTTCCCGTACCAAAACTGAAACTGCAAAATTGTCTTTGTTGAACAGTGAAAAGTGCGAGGCGAAGCCAAGCTATGGATCGTTACAAATCAGAGCCCGTCGAGGTGGCAGAGCCGCCGGAGCCGAGTGTATGTTTCACCAAAACCAAACAGTGTTATCAAAATTAAACAAGTATACATTGTGCACAACTATTGTTCAGATAAAGCCCATTTTTTAACAGAAATAGCTTTTGTTTTGACATCATAAATGGATAGATTTCTTGCAGATGTCTCAACCGCCCTTTGTGAGTACCATCTTCCGACAATCGGTTCTTGAGGTATAAGGGAATATACCCGATCACGATAAGAGGTCGAGGAGGAGGGCTATGGTTAGTAAAAATTAATTCCTTTCGTTGAGACCTTTCATTAGAGTATACCATGAAGGATAAAACTAATTAAACCTTCAATTTATTACATTTTGTTTTTTTGACCTCAGATTTGAAATCAGGGACCTCAAATTATACTTAAAACATTACTCGCGTGCCATCCTTGAAATACAAATACACATTTTTAAGTCAGAAACAGATTTTTCTTAAATAGCCGCCATATTGGTTACACATGGTGGCGGAAGGGGGTGCTGCGGGTCAAATCGATCTATTGGACATAAAAATCAACCATACCAAACGGCATGCTTTCTGCATTATTCGTCAGATTTTTCTGTGTACCGCTTAGACTATTAGGAAGCGTTCGATCTGCTGGAACAAGCATGGGAATTATTTAGGTGAGTTACTCATTGCTTGTTCGATTGTACTAGGTAGGCGACAGGTTTAGCTTTTTTTGGCTTGTCTACAGTGGGGGGTTTTGCAAAAAGTTGCTGTTGGGTCAGAAAACAAGCTTGTGAGGATCTCTCTGATCTTGGTGGTTTATTTTCAAGGAGGGGGCGGATCAGTACAATGAATTCTGGCAATCTTGACTAAATGCGCCTGGTAGTGGGGGAAACTAAGGTTTTGTAACACTTATTTCAGGACGCTCAAGTGCCCCTGGCATCACATTAGAGCCTCTGTCTGTGTCAACTCGTTGTATGGTGATTTCGAGACAAGCCTTTGCCAAATGCCCTTCTTTTTGCAGTTAAAATACAACATCGATTCAAAGGAGGGGTAGATATAGTAGAAGTTGTCATCATGATCAATGCTCCATTGCAAATAACGGTTGCGGCCTACCGTGCCTTTAAGGACGCGTAGTGCCGAATCCATGCGTCTTCGCACACGGGTTCCTTATGTCAAAATGCTTGCATTTCCACTCTCAATCACACCTCAAAATATCTACATCGAATTTCATAACACCCTGTATACTTTCTAAGGATAAATAAATCGCACTAAACACTGTTAGAACTCACTTGACACCAAAACAAATTTTTTTTAATTCTTATTTTTAATTAAGTAACTTGCTATCTCTTCTCGTTAGTTCATTTGTTCATCTTTTCAAAGATGAATGATCCCCTATTTGATTACCGAGTAGATTTTTGAACGCCTAGTTTTTATTGGTTAGTATCTTTTGTACTACCAATTTTCGCTAGTTCTAAAGGGCCGAATCTAAAGCTGCAGAATCAGTACTTTTCACTTATCTTAATATTAACTTAATATCTCCATTAAAAAATGATCTATACTGATCCCGACGCCAGATGTTATTAAAAAGCAAAAGCAACCAACCAAATGCCTTCAAAGAAAGAGCAGAAACACCGATGTTTTTTTTTTTTTGCCTGCAAATCGATCGGAATATGACGTCCTAGATCGATCGGGATTATTACAATCTTCAGTACTTGGCAAAGATGCAGCAGAAAATGTGATATTAGAGCAATCGATCCCTTAAAATCGATTGAAAAACGATTTATCAATCGCACATGTACATCCAAAAAACAGCAGAAAAACGAATTAAAAAAAACACACCAAAATTTTACTCTTCCGCAAGGTCAATCGAAAAACGATTTACCAGGTCCACCGAAAAGCTATTTTTTTTTGTAGATTTGGGTCAGACTGAGGGAAAATCTGTATGAAAAAATTTTATTGGCGCCTCCCAGTTACACTGGTGCGGTTAGTAGCTCTTAAGCTCTTTTTGAGGTAACCAAAGCTTTTGGACGCCATTTTGCACTTCTCGACGTAAACGTGCACGGTTTGCCTCTAACTTCTGCTTAATTTAACTGATTTTCATTTGAAAGTCTTCTGACAGTGTCGAACGGTTCTAGTATCTATGTTTTTGCACCGAACTGCTAATTGCGACTATGAACTTGAAATTTTGAAATCAAACTAGAAATTCCACTACATTCTCAGTCAATTCTAGCGGTCATGCAATTCCTTTGCAGCTTCAATCCAAATTTTTCAATGAACTCAGGATTCTGAAACTAAATTTAAAACCTCTAGCTTTAGAACTTTGAACATTACTAATTAGTCAATTACTAATTACTATTATGGCTTTATTTGCGCATTTTGAACATTATTCAACATTAAACCTTTATTACTTATAGGAAAGTGCAACTAAAAGTAAATTATTTTTTTGGTTCACTCGCCCTTCCAAACCAGCCACCTCCACCGTACCGCTTGATATTGCATATAATTCGAAGTGTTAAAAAGTAGACGATCTCAATGGCAGATGTAACCGAAAATCCGATAAGTAATCCTAGGAGGCCACCGATATTCGAAAAGAAGTCAAGAAAACCATACATTTCAATCCTTCGACAGTTCAGAAATTGTTGGTCTTTGTAAAAGACGGTCAACTTGGATAGGTACATACTGTAATGGTACCAAAGGTTAACTGCTGGTCACTCGCAAGCTACCCACCTGTTTAGGCTTACGTTCGCCAACTGAGGTCTTTTGATGACGTCCATCGCCTTCTGCCACCTCCAATCTGATTGCGATGTTTCAACCTCGTACGATAAGGAGGTGCACGACGGGAGGCAGTCACACTGGTCTTCCGGATTTGAATTCTCCTCGTTTTTCAGGTACTTCACTTTAATTGAACGCAATTCATAGATTTATGCAATTGAATTTTGACTTACGTTTACTCTCTTTGACGCATTGGGACCGACCTGGCCCGCAGATCTCAGCTTCTATATCGATGGCTGCAAAATAAAAAGGAATGCATCCGCAATGTTCCAAGGTATAATTTGCTAGACACTCGTATAGGCAGTTTTGTTGCGTGTACAGTTTGTAGCTAGCCAAGTACTTCTCGCTGAAAAAGTAGCACTTTCTAGCCTTGGGGGAGTAGTCCAACAACTCCGTTGATACGGTCAGCGACGGTTTGACACCGACAAACACCGCGTGGTTTAACGGCAACCTGAAGTGCTTATCCATGTTGGGGAGTTCAGAAGGGTGATGCAAGGCAACCTGAAAGTCTGCCTTTGGAGGGTGTTTGGCAGTAGGAGGCGATCTTACCTTGAACCCCTGGATACATTCTCCGCACAAATAATCTAAGTGACTGTCGTTGGTGTAGACGTACTTCATGGTTAAACCGCCGTCGGTTCCCGACATGAAGCTTCTCCTGGGAAACACCTCCAAGCTTTCGCCTTGGAGATAACCGCCTTCGAGCGTCCAATTATCACTTTTTGGCATTGTGTGTAAGGAGTTTTTAAGCTTTCGGCTTTAAAAAAGTTTTCTTGTTACACCAAATACTCATAGGCCTTAAAATCTTTGGGGTTAGAACCATACAATAAGTCAAAATCTGTTAGAAATGACGTGAAGGCGTTGAGGAAACGTGAGTAAGGCTGGGAGGAGGGTAGAAAGAAGAATGAAGCAGCCCCGAACGAATCGAAAAAGGATGTAAAGATGCGATGAATCCTTCAGAGGGACATGGACATGGACAGAAAAGTCAGAGATTCGTAGAAAGGTATGAGAGTGACACATGTGCATGGGGAAGGCAATTGTAAAAAAAGCCTTGACTGAGGTATGAAGTTTGCGCAAAGGGGCAGGAGAGAAGAGGATGTAATGGAGGCGTAACGAAGGTTCCAAGCAACCGTGCAAAGGTTTGAAAGTAGTTGGGGGAATGGTTGCTTCTGGAGTTAAAATGAAGTATTTAAGGACGCGTGAAGAAAACGCAAATAAAGCCGTGGTATTTGGGAATTTAGATGTACTCAGGTCGGGGTATAGCTAGAGAAAGGCAAGAACGCGTGGGTGAAAAGACAAAGAGGTATGCATGTGCAGAGACTAGATGAGGGAGCAGTCAAGGAGGGGTGAACAGAGGGAGAGTGTGCTGAAGATCTAATGAAAGGTTTAGGATTATTTGAAGAAAGCAAGAGAAATATATAAAAAAGGTGCAGCCATCACAAGGGGATGAGAGAGGAGAAGGAAATAAAATAAGCTACGCGCGAGGAAAATAAAGAGTAGCAGGACGAAGGAAAGGCATGGAAACTGTTAAGTAAAAAAAGCTTTCAGGAGGAAAAGCCAAGGAAGCGTGAGGAATGTAAAAAAAACGTAAATAACATTCAGGAGAGAAATAGGAAGGGTGAAATACATCTTAAAAAGGGCATCATAAAAAGATGAAGGACTCGTGCAGAAGAGATGAACGTGTGGCGCAGTTCAGATGAAGCTGGAATGTGGTGCTAAGGGTCCCTGGTTCGAATGCGGGTTCGGGCATGGATATTTGTAAATGTATAGTGGGTTGGGTTGGTAGAACAGCCTAGGTTGAAACTGCCCACTCAAAAATAAAGGCAACATAAGTAAATAAATAAATGAATACGCGTTAATAAGATGTAACGTTGGCGTAAAAAAGGGGTCAGACAGACCCACAAAAGAATGAATGGTATTCGAAGGAGTTGAATGGGGAAAGGGGGATACCGTTTAGAGGGATGTAAAACAGACCGAAGAAAATTGTGAATGAAGTAAAGGAGTCGTGGATTATTGGCGAATAAAAAGAAAATGAAAAGGAAACGGAGAAAAAAATGCAGAAGGAAGATTCAAAGGGTCGTAAAGAATGCGTGAAGGCATGGGGGAATGTGATGCAATTGAAATTGGGACGATCGAAGAAATCTTAACAAAGTTGCGAAGTAATTGTAAAGAAAGCGTTAAATATATTTACTGAGAGGCGCGAAAATGGCGGGAAAAATGTGTAAAAAAATCAAGAAAACGTGAGGGAGCAGTGAAAAGTGTGTAAAGGAAACGCAAAACCTAAAAATGAGTGAAAGCATGAAGTAGTCTGAATTTGTTGAATTCGTGTGAGATGTTTATTAACGACCCTAAATCATCTGTAATTGGTAGTGCAGAAAGACAGTGACAAAATGAATGATTAGACATGGCCGCTTGGGTTGATAGTTCGCAATTTTGTGGGTGTCATTAGAAATTTTTGTTAAGCATTCACGTTATAGCAACCAAGGCGACCAGTGTGGGTTCCTAATAGAAATTTGTAATAAATTCGCGTCCTGATCACGCTAGACAACTACAACCTATCAGTTTGAGTGTTATCCTACAAACATAGTTATATAAACTACAAAGAAGACACCAACGTAGCATGATTTGGATCTTTTAAAACCGACAGAAGAAGACCTCCTCATTGAGAATTGGGAGCTAGACCGTTACTCACCCATTTCTAACTATCTCGTCGTAAGGCAGCATGTTAAACGTAAAACAGATTCCTTCTGATGTTAGGCTTAAAGATAAAACCTTCTCGGAGTTGAAAAGTTGCCCTATCCACGTGGTCAACGTTAGATTCAATGGATCAAAAGAAGGCATAACCTAAGAGACCAATTTCAGTACATTTTTCCACTTTATTTTTTAGACACTCACCTCCAGCAACTTTCCAGATACGTTTGAAACCGTATCATTCCAGTCAAAAATTCCCAAAATACTTCTGCAATTTGCAGACACCTCGCAAACTAAGGTAGCGAGTTGCAAATACTCCTCTCTAAAACAACTACAGTTTCATTGCGCCTTACTCCCGTTGGGCGCCATTACTCTCGCGTGGTTAAGCTCTCGCGGTACCGCTTCCTCTGGAACACGCGGGTATAGTTAAACTTCTCAGGGTGAAATTTCACTTCGGGACAGAGCGTGACAGCTGGAAAAGGGATCGCTGAAATCGGCACCTCTTTGTCCGCAAACGTGACCGACACCGGCGATCGTCTCCACTTCAGGTGCGCCTGGCGGACTAACATTGCGCAAACGGTACAGAGACAAATCACGATTATCGTCCATGCCGACCTAAAATTTTGCTCCGAATTATTGAGTTTCGTCGACGCACCGGCTTACCTTTCCCAAAAGTGGCGACCACGCTGACCGATGTACTTTACGCCGTGGACGGAGCTCTCCTCGCAATACTCAACGAGGTAGTCCCTCACGTTTTTGAGACTGGTCGCTTTTGGTTTGGTCGAAAGTTTTTGTTTGACTACTGCTGGTGGAGATACGGCAAAGTGTTTAAGTTTTAATGATTTCCGTACTCCACTGAGCTTAGGGTGGAATTCAATCATTTCTGGTAGTCGTCAGTTGTGATTCGGGAAACGCACAACCCCTACACTTTGGAGAAGTGGATTCAAGGAATTAAAATTGTTGTTTAATTAGTAGTGTCGCTTCAGCGCATCATTAGTCATTCTGAAGTTGTGACGTAAATGACCTGGAAAATTCAATTACTTTGCCCTAATTTTACGTATAATTATTAATTTGGTGACAGTAATTACATTTTTGTTTTTTATTCATCGAAAAAACACGAAAAAAGAGGGTTAGGACACGCACCATTTCTGTCATCTTTACCGTATGACTTTCTATAGGACTGTTTCTGACCCTTTCCAGATTCTTTCAGTTATTCGGATACAGTCTGTTCATAATCTTGTTAAGATTTTTCTAATTTTTTCCATTTTTCATTTTCTGTTTCTTCGGATCTATTGATCGTTCATCAAATTCTTCAGTTTTTTCAATTGTTTAGATATTTCAAGTCCTCCAATGATACTTTTTGCAACAGTTGCATATAAGGGGGGTTGACCCACCTTTCTTTCAATTAAAATTTTGACTTCCTAAGTGGTAAACACAAATTTTATGAAAACTTACTTGCTGAAAATTCCGCTTTTTCAATTTTCCTGAAACTTGATTCAAGACTTGGTTTTTTTTAATAACCTGCTTGAATAAAAGGTCAATTTATTAAGCATATGCTTTAAAAGAAATAGTAATTTACCCTAAAATACAAAAGCACTTTTAATGGCCATTGTGATTGCTAATTTGCTTTTAGCTTCCTTACGGTTAAATAAAATACCAACTTGGGTTATGAATAAATGAATTAACTAATTTCCTTACAATGCTAAAACACACACCACAGATTCGCTCACACAATTATTGTTGCATATCAACTTTTAAAGTATGCATTTTTACTAAACTGTACAATTTTCGGCCCTCTTTGTCATACTTATTTTTGAGTAGTTCATGTGACGGACCGGTGTTTCAACGTCTTTTATATTTTCAAATTTCAAATCTCACAGTCTATTAATCAAAATATATGACAAATACCAATCGTGAATTGTAACTACAAGTGAATTATTTCATAAATTTCCCACGGTTGGGCTGTCCAAACCAAGCCCTCCTTCCATACTTCCTGACGTTACAAAATATCCGAAGAGTCAGGAAATAAACAATTTCAAATGCCGACGTAACCGAAAATCCAATGAACAACCCTAGCAATCCTCCTATGTTTGAAAAAAAGTTCAGCGAACCATACACTTCTTCCCTACGACAGCTTAAGAACTGGAGGTCCTTGTAGAAGACGCTCAGCTTGGATATGTGCAAGCTGGAATAGAAAGCTCGACTAACTGTGGATAGCTTCCAATGTACTTACCTGTTTGGATTTATGTGGGAGAAGTGATCTAGGTTTAGGGTCTCCACTGCTTTTTGCCAACGCCAGTCTGTTTGGGACGTTTCGACCTCGTACGACAAAGAGGTGCATGACGGTAAGCAAGCGCACCGCTGATCGTCCGAGTGTATCTCCTTCTTCAAGTAATGCACTGAAATTCCAAGTAGTAATTTATGTGAAAAGCTCAACTTACATTTACTCTCCTTGACACATGCGGTTAAGGCTGCTCCGCAGACCTTGGTGTTCTTTCTAATGACTGCCAGAAATTTAAAACAGACCTTTTATGCGATTAACTCACGTGTAAAATAAAATGGGGTGCATCCACAGGAAGCTATGGTGTAATTAAGTAGACATTCGTCGAGGCAATTTTGCTGAGTGTAATACTTGTAACTCGCCAAATACTTCTCCTTCGCAAAGTAGCACTTTCTAGCTGCAGGTGCGTAGCTCAACAGTTCAGGGGATACAGTGAGAAAAGATGGTCTTACACCAACAAAAACCGCTTGGTTCAGCGGTAGACGGAAGTGTCGATCCATATTCGGAAACTCGGAAGGATGGTGCAAGGCAATCTGAAAGATGTACGTCGCTAGGTCAAATCATGGTACAGCCCAACCTTAAATCCTTGCAGTGATTCCCCGCATGAGTAATCAAGATGGCTGTCGTTGGTAGCAATGTAGCTTATGGTCAAACCTCCATCCGTGCCAGACATAAAGGTTCGCCTAGGAAAAACGTCGAGGTTTTCTCCTGGCGGGTATCCTTCCTCAAGTGTCCACTTATGACTTTTACGCATGAAGTCCAAAGATCGGTTGAACTGGTACCTTAAACATATACAACATCATCATAATCAATTGTTCGGATCATGGGATTTGATTTCATGGCGTCTTTTCAGAACTTTGATTTGGTTTGGTGCAGTATTCAAGCGCTTTCCAGAACATCATCGGTTTTATTTGCGCTTCAATAGAGACTCCCAAACTACTCTAGATACTATTTTGACATGACTAGCTCAAAAAAGACCAGCAGTTTCATAATTATCCTGGAATGATGTGGAGTCGCACCAGACGGCTCCTAACACGTAAAACTGTGGAAAGCATATGTGGATCCATAACCTTCGTTTTTCTAGAACATTTCAGAACAGCAAGGCTTTTTTCAGGTCATTAAAGCCTTCCTATACGTTTTTATAGTATTCTATGTCCTTTCCACAATGTTATAGAGTTTTCCTCTGAAAAGGTGCAAACTTTGAAACAAATTTGAAGCTTTTTCAAAAATGTTAATGCTTTTGTTTCCTAGCTCCCTGTGTTTCTCCACTTTTCTTTTTCTACAATTCGTTTCTTCACTTCCCTTCTTTCGCATCTGTTCACATCTCTTTCAAGCTTCCTTCGCTCCTCCTTTCTTTGTACTTCTATTAGTATCCCGGAATTTCTATCCCTTTTTTCGCTCGTCCATTGTTCTTTTCTGCGTGACTCCCCCACACCTCAGGACACTGAAACCCCCGTGGTCGTGGAAACTAACAGTGCGACACAAAGAGACCACAACAAAGTTCTTTAAATATGGACACTTATCGAAATTAGGGGATTTGACTCTGACTTACCCATCTCGAACTATCTCATCATATGGCAACATGTTAAACGTATAGCAGATTCCTTCGGATGTGAGGGTGTAGGAAAACACCTTACTAGTATTTAGTAGTTTTCCTAACCACATTGTCACTGTTAAATTTAGTGGATCCAAGGGTGGCAAAATCTATGAGAATCAGACTGTCAGTGCTCTCTTCCGAATTTAAACCTCTTACCTCACGTAATTTACGCGCCACGTTCGGGGTAACGGTATCATTCCACTCAACAATTCCAAAATATCCTCTGCACTCCACGCATACTTCGCAAAGGAGGAAAGCGATTTGCAGATACTCCTCCCTGAAACAGGCGAGCATGAATGAACAGTTAGGGCCCACTAAGAGGAAAATACTCCCGCGCTGTTAACCTCATTCCGTATCGCTTCTTCCGAAAGACGCGGGTGTAGTTAAACTTTTCCGGATCGAATCTAACTTCTGGACAAATTGTGACGGCCGGAAAAGGTATTGCAGAGATTGGAACCTCTTTGTCCGAAAACGAGACCGTCACCGGCGCCCCCTCCCACTTCAGGTACGCTTGGCGGATATGCATGAGGCACACGGTACAGAGACTAACGACAATGACTGTCCAGGTCAACCTAAAATTGCGTTCCAATTACCGAGCTCTGTAATCAAAATGGCCCACTTCTCCACGTAGGTGCGACCACGCTGCCCGATGTACTTGACACCGTGAACACTGCTCTCTTGGCAATACTCGATGGCGTAGTCCTTCGCGTTCTTGAAACATGCCTTTTTCGGCTTCTTCTTTACTGCAAACTTGTGCTCGGGGGGCGGGGAGACGAGAAAAAGCTTAGGTTCCCATACAACACTCGCGTTTTTTAGTTTAGGGCTAGGTTCAAGCATTCTTCAGACCGGTCGTAAACGACTATCTACACGAAACTCATACACTTAGTATTCGTGCAAGTAATTACTAGGTATTTTCAGGATATCATTAGTCATTTCCGTAGCGAAAATTATTGGTATCAGCAACAAGGGTAGCTCGAGCGCTGAGTAAATTAATTATCCTAATTATTTCGATTAAATTGATTCTATGACACTAATCATCTTTACAAACGCGAACGGTGTAAAGCGCGCGAAATAAACCTACGTAGGTGCTGCAATTACGCTTCCATGGAGATCGTCAGATAATCGGTCCAATTATGGAAATAAGCACAAACGTTTATCAATATAATTTAGATACAATAATTGCTTGATGCACGAAACCACTACCATTATTTTCTTTGAATTGTTTCTGTCATGTAATACAAAGCTCAAGTGATTCATAGAGACTTTAAAGGCTTAAAGCTAAAAGCTGGGCACTTGAAGAGTAAAAAAAAGACTTTGAAAGTGTCTAAAACAATCTAGAATGCCATTGGAGATCCTTAAAGGCTCTTTCAGGCTTACAGCCCCAAAGGCTCTTAAACTTTTAAAATCTGCTAAGGACTCTAAAGCATAGAGGAGGCTTTGGAAGGTTTTGATTACTTTTCGCAACTGACGGGAAACTCTTAAGAGCCGAAAAAGGCTCGAAGAAGGCCTATGAAACCTATAAGGGACCATGAAAGTCTTAATGAATCTTAAAAACCTTTTTAAAAGCTTCTAGGGTCTCAAAGATTAATAAATCCCTTTAAACGAGCAACCCTAGTTATTGATGGCGCTTAAAAGTTGATGAACTCTCAAAAGCTCACGGAGACTAACAAAAGCTCTAAAAGAATCGGCCGGAGAACGAAAACTTAAACGTCCTCGGAGACCTTTCAAAAATCTCAGAGGCTGTTTGCGACCTTTCCAAGATTTTTCAAAGCGTTTAAAGGCCTACAAAAGTTCCTGAAAAATGTTGAGACAGGACAGTCCCCTAATTGCAAGCCAATTCAAGACTTTTAAAGGTCTGCTGAATTCCCCATGGAGACTTGGCCACTAAAGATCGCCACAGACATTTTAGATGCTTTCCAACTCAATTATAAGCCTTGGGATCTTTTAAATAATTAAAGGTATTCCCAGATTCACATCTTCGGAACCTTTAGGGATTATTAAATGTCCTTAAAATCCATTTGGAAGCCCTACAGTTTTTTAAATAATTTTAAAGGTTCCCAAAAGCACTCCCATAAAGACTCCAGACCCCTGTAAAAGCCTTTAAGGGTCTTCAGCTCATCTCAAGAGCTTTCTGAGGAAGTGTCTCCCAAAGATACTTAGAAAATTGTTGAGTGCCTTTATTTTGAGTTTCTTATATATTTAAAATGCTAGTATCTTCACTATTCTTATACAGGCCTTGAATTAGAGGTTTGAAGGTTACACAAACATTACATCAGGTATACATAGAAATTTAAATGGTTTTTTCCCGCTTGTTTTAATCCTTTTTTTATATCTTCTTCTAGCTTTCTTCACTCTTTTTTGACTTTCCATTATGCTTCCCAAGGTCCTCTATGCTTTCCAACTCAATTATAAGCCTTGGGATCTTTTAAATAATTAAAGGTATTCCAAGATTCACATCTTCGGAACCTTTAGGGATTCTTAAATGTCCTTAAAATCCATTTGGAAGCCCTACAGTTTTTTAAATAATTTTAAAGGTTCCCAAAAGCACTCCCATAAAGACTCCAGACCCCTGTAAAAGCCTTTAAGGGTCTTCAGCTCATCTCAAGAGCTTTCTGAGGAAGTGCCTCCCAAAGATACTTAGAAAATTGTTGAGTGCCTTTATTTTGAGTTTCTTATATATTTAAAATGCTAGTATCTTCACTATTCTTATAGAGGCCTTGAATTAGAACTTTGAAGGTTACATAAACATTACATCAGGTATGCATAGAAATTTAAATGTTTTTTCCCGCTTGTTTTAATCCTTTTTTTATATCTTCTTCTAGCTTTCTTCACTCCTTTTTGACTTTCCATTATGCCTCCCAAGGTCCTCTATCAGACTTCTTTAGTCTTATTCACGCTTGCTGCAAGTTTTCTTCACATTTTCTCCTACGCGCATTCTTATATTTACGTTCACACCTTCTTCAACCCTGTTACTCGATCCTTCAAACTCCCTTTTCTTCTTCGCGCAACCTTTACACTTTCCAGTGGTATGCCTCCTGCGAAGCTCTAATTTTTTTCAATGCATGCCTCCCCCGAATCTTTTTAGCGTCGCCTTAGAGATTTTTCGAACTTGCTTGTAGCTTGCCCCATTTGAAAATTCTTCACGTCCCCTGCAAGCCTGTTGAGTATCCTTTACGCCTCCTTCGAGTCCGCTTGAAACGTACTTCCAGAATTCTTCACTCAGGTCTGATTCACGATTTCTTTGATCCTTTTGGACGGATATTTTAGATCACTTTGGATCATCACTCTTTGGAGCCAGTCTGAAACTTCTTTCTAATCATTTGCTTGGCGCCTCCTGCAAACCCCGCCTACTTTGAGTAATGAATGCGTTCTTCAAACCCCGTTATAGGGTTCTTCCTTCGATTTTGATTCTCGACCCTTAAGTCCTATGACCTAAAGTCTCGCCACGTTTTGGAATTCTTCACTCTTAGTTTGATCCCTCCTGCGAGGCCTATCTTTGAGCCTTCTTCAAACCTGTTTCTAGTGTTTTTCTTTCGTGTACGCTTTATGACTCTTTCGACTCCTTTCCATAAGAGTTACTCATGTCCCTTGAAGACTCTTTAGCGAGTTCTTGGGATTTTTACCTCGCCTTTTATCTCACACTCCCTTGAAACCTTCTTCGTGTCTCCTTTGAAACACTTTCAACTGCCTTACGACCTTTCCTTACGTCATTGAAAGCCTCTTCGGGTCTCCTTCTAACCTCCTCCACGTCCGTCACATATTCTTCGATTTTTTTCACGCGCCATTCTTCAAATCTTTTGCGCGCTCCCTTCTAACGTTCTTCACCTCCTTCTAGCCTACTGCTACGGTCCTCCGCGCGTGCCTCGACTCTTCATTGCCATTTCCTAAAGTTTTCTTTAAGGATCCGTAGATCCTTCGAGTTGAGTTTTCGCATCCACCCACCTCTACAGTTCCATTTCATGTTTTCCGCATATCTAATGTTCTTCAACGACGTGCTAACTAAGGGAACCGGTTTTTCATGTATTAGTTAAACTTATGGGAAAGATTCCTTGTAATCCTACCTAAGCCATTGCAAATCGTACAATACGTAATTAAAACACGAATATGTGGTCTATTAAAGAAAGTTGTGCCATTATACAAAACGTGATGAACATCAACCTTGATGGCCAGCCCAGGTCCTAGTACCATACATTATGATATTGCAAATGATTCTAACGGTTAAAAAGTATACAAGTTCGGCAGCCGACACTATGGAAAATCCAATAAATAATCCAAGAAGCCCACCAGTGTTTGAAAAAAACTCCACGGTGCCATACAACTCCTTCCTTTCGCAATTCAAGAACTGCAGTTCTTTGTAGTAAACGGAGAGCATCGAGAGATGCGTACTGAAAAGGAGACACAATCAATAGTGATCGATTTTAAGGGTGACGTACTTATGCGGCGTAATATTCAATTGACGGTCATTTAACTGACGCCATACACCGAATTCTTCTGACCAGCTCCAGTCGGTTTGCGATATTTCAACGTCGTACGTCAAGGAGGTGCACGCTGGCCAACAATTACACGGCCTTTTTGCGGAAGTGCTGTTCCCAACTCCCGCGAATCGCGCTAGAAGGTAAAAAAAAGTGTTTAAAATCATTAGCGTACCCCACGTACTTTTACATCGCTGTACGCATCTGAATTTGGCAGGGCCACAAATTTTGGTATCGTCACCATACACTGCCAAGTAAAACGGAATACAATCACAATGTTTCCAGGTGTGGTTCGCCAAACACTCGTCGAGACAATTTTGTTGTGTATAAACCTTGTAGCTCGCCAAATACTTCTCCTGGGCAAAGTAGCACTTTCTGGTCTCCGCAGGGTAGTCCCGCAACTCGGGCGAAACCGTGATCATTGAAGGCTTAATTCCGACGAATACAGCCTGGTCTAGAGGTAATCGGAAGTACTTATTCATGCTCGGTAACTCGCACGGGTGATGTAGACTAACCTAAAAGTCGGTAAAGGCCCAGTTTACGTGAAATTGTTACCTTGAATCCTTGTAGCGACTCGGTGCAGAGGTGATCTAGGTGGCTGCTGTTGGTGTAAATGGAATTAATCCTCAAGCCACCTTCAATTCCAGAAATGAATGTTCTTCTCGGAAACGCGTCCAGTGCGTCTTCTTGAGGATATCCGTCTTCCAATGACCATTTGTGAGGCTTGTTGGCAGATTGGGAGGAATTCTTCAAAGGGTCGCTACAATGAGCGTTGCGGTTTTGAAACCTACTACCTGAGTCTAAAGAAAAGGGAAGATTGCCTAATAACCCTCAAATTTTGATTTTGTGACGTAATTCAGAGGAGCTTTAATATTGAACTAAACCGAATTCAGTACCTACAAAATATCCAAAATCACTTCGATCTGATTACAAAATTAGGCCGATTTCCCTTTCTTTAACTGCACGTAATAGAAAGGAATATATTTCGTACAAGAACCAAGGTATACCTACTTGAATCTCAATATTTCCTCGTAAGGCAACATGTTGAAGGTGTAACACAATCCTTCAGCTGTGAATGTAGGGATTAAAGCGGAGCCTGATTCCAGTGAATGGCCTATCCAGTTAAGATAAGTTACACTGAGCGGATCAAACTCAGGGGTGACCTGCGCAATTCTATTGTCCTTTGATTAATGTGGTAAGGGGATGATACTTACATCAAGCAAGCTTTCACATATATCAACAGGAATAGTGTCATTGAGGTCTCTCACTTCAAAGAGATCATGATTTTGCGTTGCCGAACTGCACACCAGGTACGAAAACTGCACGTACGTTAACCTAAACAAACCCTTGGTACTCATATCTACGTTCCCAAGACTTACTCCAACTTGGTGAGACGACTGCCGAACTGTTGCCTCAGATACGTCTTTGTAAAGTTAAATTTCTCCGGATCGAATTTCGCTTCAGGGCAGAAGGTGACCGCCGGAAATGGTATCGTGTGAATTGGGGTTTCGGTTGTTGCAAACGTCACTGTCACTGGCGAGATCTCCCACTTAGCGTACGCCTGGCGAATCATCACTAGGCAGCACGTGAATAGAGCTGTAACGATTACAGCCCACAACGCCCTAGCAACGAGGGGGCGTTAAACGGGGTCAAATTCCCCGATCTTACCTCTCAAAAATGTGCCTACCACGCTCACCAATATATCTGACCCCGTGTATCGAACTAGCCGCGCAATAAGTCGTAAAATGCAACTGGAGGTTTTTGACTGGTTGATTTTCCTTGAGTTGCGATTTTTCCTTCGCATAACTGTCTAATATACCTGTTACCGTAAGTACTGTGGGTTCTCTTTTGCTCATTTTCGATTTGGCTCAGCCTTATTTACACGTATGCTTGGCGTAGTAATGAATGTAAAATAATCAATCGATTCTATATGTACCTACGGTGTTAATAATTACTAGCCCTAGTTCTCCGGGTCATTTGTCATTATCAAATCGAAAGCTGTAGGTGTGCTAGCACGATAGAATGGTGAAATATTGGTTGGTTCAAAGAAATAAATTTATGTGAAGTTAGAGGATCTAAAACAATACCTTCAATAAATTTATTGTTATAGCATTTTTTAATAAAAAAGATATTTATCAAATTTGAGTTTTTATATTTTTACTAAACTTTTTAACAGATTAACGTGATTTTTCCCGACAGAAAGTTATTCCTGACAAGATTATTAATTAATCATCATTCTTGTTATTCCAGAATTTCTTTTCCGTTTATTTTTCATTCGTCCGTCAGCTTTCTGTTGATTTCATTTAGTATTATTTTCACCAGACCGTTACTTTTTATCTGGTTTGAATTTGATTGCTCATCTTACTTTCCTCCACTGTCGTCAGCTAACGTCAATTCTGGTAGGGTATATAAACCTGCGAATTTCACGTTATATACACTGATATGGATTTGTGCATTAGATCGGTCGATCTGACGGAAACACAATAAAATTATCACCGTTCTCCGTGAGAGATTCAATACAGATTTTTGAAATTGACCTGAAGAATCCTTTTAAAGGCGTACGCCTAGCTGACCTAATTTAGAAACCTTAAAGCTTTACTATACTTTACTATACTCTAGCTAGGGCTCCCATATTTGTTAAAAGTTCCGTTGAGGGTTGGTGCAATTATGATAGACTATGTTATGAAATGATATCAGACCAAAATCTCAGAAGCACCATTTTTTGCTTGTTACGATAAACTTTGCACTTGATATCCTAAATTCATGAAAATAAGAACAGCAGACCAACATTTACTCCTTAGATACAACAAACTAATAATTAATGGAAAAGACTTCTACCTAGAACAACTGGAGGAAATTGAAAAAGAATCCGACATAGAAAACGGAAAAGAAGAAACGCCAAAAGAAATGACAGGAGGAAGAACCACCAGTGAGAGATCGACAATTAACCAGATCGCAAAATACTACAACGGCACAGGCAACGGAACAATGCATGAATAATAATAAAATAATACAAGAAGTAAGAAATGAAAAGAAGCACAAAATGAATGGATAGACATAGGAATATGGAACATAGAAATACAAGCGGGGAAAGAAATCGAAATAATTGAAGAAATGGATAAAAACAATATGCAAACACTCGAGATTAGCGAAACAAATAAGAACGGCAAGGAAAGCACCCATTTAACCAATAACTACGGCTGCATTACTCAGGAGTAGCACTAGAACAAACAGCGAAGGAAGGCGAGGGTATAATAATGAGAAAATAAACAAAAGAATAAGTGATGTCACTATGTCAGGGCCATAAACTCTCGAATAGTAGCAGTAACCATAACACTAGAAGAAGCAATAATTCTCCAAATCTATGCACCGGTAGAAGGAACAGCTTAGGAGGAAATTGCAGACTTCTAATTGAACCTACAACAATTGCAAGACGAAATGAAAGAAGAGTATCAGAAAACAATAATAATGGGGGCTGGAATAGCAGGGTTAGAAAAGATCAAAATAGGAATGGGATGTATAGGATGCCACGGAGAAAACGCCCAAAATAGAAATGGACTAACAATGATCGACTTTTGTGTATCAAATTAAACTCTAATAGGAAACACGTTATGGAATCAACCCCTGACAAATATACTTTTGTTGCTGAAGAACGTGGATAATGAACCACATAATGTATACACATCAAAGAAGATACAAATAACGGAAACAAAGGAAGAAGTAGAAATCGGCACACAGCACAGATTCGTAACAACAAGTTGTCACACTAGACTAACTAATAAGCAAGAAAGAAGAAACTACAGTAATTTGGCAACAAACAAATTGAAAAATGCAGAAAGAGGGAAAGATACCAGAAAGATATAAATGAAGAAAACTATACAAAGAAAGGGAAAACCACCAACCTTTTTGGACAATGAAGGAAAGATGGACAACATTAAAAAGATACGTCCAAACAAAATAAATTGCAGATAAAGAATAACACAAAAGACGAAGAAACGTAGTGAAAGAAACAATTAAGGTAAAGAAAAGAAATTTCTGGTGAAAAATGTGTGAAGAGATAACGGAGTTACATAAAATGAATACCAGAGGGTACTGGACGAGAAAGGAAGGTCACTAGCGCAATAAAAAATAATCAGGGACAAATGTAAACACACAAAGGAAATCTTAGAAACATTTAAAAGCTACTACGAAGAAATGTACAATAAGACAGTAAATCCGAAGGAAAGCGTAAATGCGGAATAAACAATCGAGAGGGAAGAAATAGAAGACGATTCCCAAAAAAATAAAAACAGGTAAATCAAGGGGGGAGGACAACCTATCCCCAAAATTGATAATATGGATGGGCCAAAGAAGAACAGAATGGTTCTGGAAAATTTGCAGATAAGTATGGGAAGAACAGAAAATACCAAGGGATTGGGAAAACAAGCTAATGGTGCCAATTTACAATAAATGACTACAATCACAATATCAAAATTATAGGCCAATATGTTTATCCCAAAACTAGTTTTAAAACCTACACAACAATCCTAGAGAAAGGATTAAGGAAACGTATAGAACCAATATTAGAAGAAACATCAAAAACATAATCAAAAGTAAAATAGAAGAAGGAAGAATTGTACCTAACATTCGTAGAATTGAAGGCAGCGTTTGATACAGTGGACAGAAGAGAAATATGGAGGACTCCAAAGAAAGTGAAAGTGGATAAGAACCTAACCTGATGACAGGCGCAATAAGAAGTCAAGAATTTACTACACTATGAATAAAACAAAGCTAGGCCACAAAAATATTGATTTAGCGATAAAAAAGACAATATATGAAGGCTTAGAAAAAAGGACGAAATTAAAATAAAAACACCTTAGGAGAATGGCAGGAAGGACGAAGTGGGACAGATTAAGAAACGAGGACATTAGAGAGATTATCAAACAGGAGCCAATACAGAGGAAAATAAAAACAACTAAATTGGTTCACATACACGACAAGAATGAAACCAAGCAGAATTAGAAGGAAAACTAATGGAAGCAAAAAAACCACCCAAGAAACGAAGAGGCAGATCAAATTAAAGAAATAGCAGTAGAAAAAGGAGGAGATTAAAACAATAGCAAGGGGCAGGAAAATGTGGAGGGAATATTTTAATCAAACGTTCTTCTAGAAAAGGCAACCATATCGCATATTTTAAACATTAGGTCTGCGCAATGCTAAGTTTCTTAGTTTGTTGTACCATAACTTTTAATATTCTTTTGTACACATAAATAGTCCTTTACATGACCTTTCAGAAAGTACTGATCAATTCGTGGAGTTACTCGCCTTAACCGTTTTTTTTCATTTTTTATAAAGTATCCTGATACATAGCCAAGTAGGAAACCCTCATGTCTACCAGCGAGATCCAGTGGTTTAAGGTTGGCAGAGGCGGTCAAATGTGTCAAATTTTAATATAACTTCCAACTTTTCGACTGACTATGACTGAATACTGACCTCTCGCGCCTTTATTTTGACCCCAAGGTAAAAAGTGTACCTATGCGACTTTTATATACATCTCATGAAGATACATCTTTTTTTGTATTTAACATTGCTCCCTATGGTGCTTTTTTTTAAGTGCAAATTTAAAAAATTATAAAATAAATAGTTTAACTTTTCAATTTAAAGTGTCCCAAAAATTAACAAACAAAAAAAATGTCATGGACTTTCTTGTAGGGTTTTTATGTCACATTATCCAGTGTATATACAAAAAAACTACATACATTATTTTCAAACCGTTATGGCACTTTTAAACTTTTGAGACCCTCAAAATCCCTGACAATGGTAACGAATCGAAACCAAAATAGGACGTTTACGATTCCCCATGCGAACCTACATACATTGCAAATTTCTAATCAAAACAAAATCGTTAAAATCCTACCACAATAGTATATTGAAAGACAAGTGTTACAATGCGACCTATTGTAATACGACTATCTTGTGGCACGAGTGGCGACGCGAAGCGTAGCCACGAGTGTCCGCAAGATAGGAGTATTACAATAAAGCATTGTAACACGCGTTTTTCATACTATTTTTTTTATTTCGGTGCTTTAATTTTAATTAAAAAAATCATTATCAGAAACTATAGGGAACATTAGAACTAACATGTTTTATGTTGGGAACACTTTTTATGCCGTTAAGTTTTAGGTTGGCAGCGTAGTAATACTGACATTTTGAAGTTCAAACATGGAAGTACCCCACGAAGTACCTACTTGTACTAATTAGTAACTGCCAACTTAAGAGATGAGTTACCAAAAAAAACGACTATAATCACTGTCTTTGTACAACTGTTTTCGGTCGAAAACAGTTGTACAAAATCATCATTGTGACACCGAAATAGAAAAAAGAAATTATGGAGTTATGTTCCATTTCTAGGTAAGCCTTGTATTTAAAGCAAAAAATTTTGCTGCATTTTTTAATAGCTTGCACGATCCACAGAAACACATCAACCAAGGTCTGACTACTGAACAGAAGATCCAGAGCTCCCGAGATCCAGAATTCCAAAGATCCAGAGATTCAGAGATCCATGAATTTGATTTAAATAAGGAAGCAAAGTGTATAATCATGGCTCTGAAAATCTAAAAAAAAGCACAAAGATCAAGATATGATTATTATTGAGCGAGTAGTACCTCCAAATTGATGTGCAAAATAAAGTTGGCACAAACTTACCTGAAAGAGACATTTTTCCAAAAATTAGTGTAGGATTAAAAAAATATGGTAATAACAATAGATCTGGTCACAAATTGCATTTTGGACTCAAAAATAGCGGAAATCTTTATTTGACCACAAAAAAGAGAGAACTGGCTATTATACGATAGGCCATCAGTTCAATTTATAAAATTGACAGGCCCATAATCTTTTGCAGACAATTTCCAATAGATTTTGACTTGTGGAATTTAAAAAAATCACAAGCAAAATGTAGACCTCAAATTAAGAGGAAACTAAATATGTCGTATACTAACTTGAAGCAGAAAAAGGTAAAATCTTTGAATTTATGGCCGCTTTGTCATTAGAGATTTTTATGGTTGCAACCCTTGTTTTTCTTCTATAGTTGATTATGTTTGCAATGCCTGGAGGTACAAGGATTTGGAATAGTAGGCCCTTCAGGGAAAACAATCCAGTGAGGCTTGAAACCTAGGTTGAAACATTTATGGTACCTGGATAACTAATTTTTTTTCTTCATTTGAGTGTGTTTATAGGAGCCACACACAATTTCTGTTTTTAAAATCCAAGCGCAATCAACGACAACAGAAAATATGCCTATATAGTTGATACACAAACAAACGGATAAATTCGTGATTCAGTATTCAGAAAACATGATGCATACCGTGTGCTGTCAGGATGCGCGGCTTCAATTGTGTTACGCCCGAAGAGGTAAATCATTAAAACAAAACATCAAACAAATTGATGTATATTTTTCTGTGTGATAAATACACAACATGCATAAGTTTCCTAAATATCGAATCTTATCTCTGTATATCAACCATATGCATATTTTATGTTGCATCTGAAGCGCAAGAAAACTTATCGCAAATCGACCGCAAAAAGGCATTTTCTGTTAGATTACGAGAAGTACGAGAGATGTCACCACACGAGTAAGACGATGTTCACATATGCACCAATTTCGTTTGGAAACGGTACTTATTCACGCGCAACCTATTATATTTCTGACACATTTATTAAGAATAGTTGAAACAACAGAAATAACAAGCTGATTATTTATTTAGTAGGCTTCGCCGATTGCGAATCCCCTGACCATTTACCTTCACCGTACTTTCTAACGTTACAGACAATCCTAAGCGTAAAAAAGTACAGAATTTCAATTGCGGATGTCACTGAAAAACCAATACATAGGCCGAGCAAACCACCCACATCTGAAATAAAATCAACTAAACCAATCAGCTCCTGTCTTTCACACGTATGAACGTTTAGGTTTTTATAATAAACATTCAATGTTGATAGATGAGCGCTAAAAGTACTTTGAGTTATCCGGTTACCCTCCAAAAAGAACAATACTTATTCAGAGCTTCACCGTTGGAGAGCACATAACCGAGTTCCTGTACCACGTAAAAGAAGCGTTTCCAGTTCCAGTCCATTTGGGAAGTTTCAACTTCGTATGACAAGGACGTGCATGATGGTAGACATCCACAGCGTTGAGCTCCTAAACCAGATTCTTCTTCCAATTCCAAATATTTCACTTAAAATGTAATGGGTTATTCGCAAGGTCATGCCTAGCAACATACATTTGCTGTAGTCTACGCATTCGGAACTGCCTGGACCACAAACGTCCACTTGCTCCCCGTATGCTGTAAGTAATGTTTACAGTCGTAATTTCCTGTATGTTTTGGCAGCTTACGCGGAAAATAGAATGGAACACATCCGCAACGTGCACGGGTGTAGTTGGCCAAACACTCATCCATGCAATTTTGCTGAGTATAGAAGTTGTAGGCGGCCAAGTACTTTTCATCGAAAAAGTAGCACTTTCTCTCCTTTGGGGAATATTCGCGTAATTCTTTTGACACCAATACCACCGAGGGTTTTACGGCAATGTTTACTACACTGTCTAACGGTAGCTTGATGTGCTTTTCCATGTTAGGAAACTCGGCCGTAGGATGGATCACGACCTGAAATATAAATGAGTAAGCAAGTAATGGAAAATGCGTTACTTTGAAGCCTTGTAAAGATCCCTCGCACAAATCCTCCAGATGACTACTGTTGGTAACCAGTGAGTCGATGGTTAGACCTCCATCTATTCCCGGGGTGAACGTTCGAAGGGGATAGCCATCGTGGTCCTTGGTATGGTATCCATGTTTTAACGACCAATTACGAATTCTCCTTGAGAATGTTGTGCGCCTCTTAAACATGTTGCTTTAAAAGAATTATTTAGACCAGCACTACGAGAGTGTGACGTCGTACCCATGCCTGAGCATATCGTCGTAAGCCATCATATTAAATGTGCGACAAACCCCTTGGGTGGTAACACTTCGAATGAGCGCCTCGGAGAAATTCAGATACGTGTCAATCCATTTAATTTCGGTTAAGTTCATAGGGTTGGGGTCTGGCTGCATCTGCAAGAAATTTCAGATTCCCTTTGGCAAAAAAATAGCGCGCACCTCAAATAATCTTTCGGGCACATCACCGACATATGTGCGATTCAGTGTTGACGTCAGGAAGAAATTGGTGTACTCCGTGGTGTCACGACAAACTAAGTAAGACAGGTGTAGGTGATCGATTCTGAAATGGCAACAGATTATGCGCTAGAGTTTGACTTAGTGCATTTCAAGATACTCCTCATGTGTGAGCGGCAATCCTAACCGTTTCCTCCTAACCATTTCGGTGAAGTTAAATATCTTCGGATTAAATTTAGTTTCGGGACATACAGTTACTGCCGGAAACGGTATTTGCCCGATTGTAATTTCCTCTGTGGCAAAGGTCATAATCACTGGTGAAGTTTTCCATTTTATGTAGCTTTTTCGGATTAAGTACACACAAAGAACGCAAACGGTAACGACAATGATCGTCCAAATTACCCTAAGCAGTTGTCGGTGAGCCATACGATTCAGGTCAACTTACCTCTCCAAAATACTGCGCCCACGTTCTCCAATGTACCTGATACCGTGAATTGTGGTCGCCTCGCTGAACTGTGTCAGGTAAAATTTCACGTTGCCCAAAAATGTTCTGGGATGTCTCTGCACGGGCAAAATACCATTTTCATTTACCACTGGAGTAACCTGAACGATCTTAGTGCGATGTTTACCGCTCCTTTTCACGTGTCTCTTCCGAGCCGTCTCCGGCATTCTACCAAAGGTATTCCTGTACAGAATCCCGTACTGCGTCATTGCATTAAATTAGTATGACTGCATACACCACTTACGTAGCGTAGTGGATATAAATTTGATAAGAGAAAAATGCTTGCAGGGATTAGTAGGTTCACGCGACATGATTATTTAATTTCGTCGGAAAAAAAAGATACATATCAAACACATTTCCAACGATACATCGAATACCACACTGAATTAAAAATATAACTCTGTTTTGGTGTTAAAATTTTAACTATATCGATATCTCGAGTATCAAAAGGGATATACGAGACGTCAAACCTTTTAAACGGGCATCCTCGCTGTAGGTTTTTAATTGTGGGTAATGTCTTCGAACTATCATTATTTTTTATTAAGAAGCTTTTTAGAAAGACAGTGGAATATTTAAAGAAATCCCTCGGAAATTGTTACCAGCTGCTCAAAATGCACATGGCCGTCAACAATGCGTAAAGTTCATCTCTAGGGCATTGGGACCAAGCTTTTGGAAGTCTTTCATGCCGAAGCATAACGACTTTAAGAAGTGAATCAAGGTTTTTCTTGTTTCAGAGGACAGGTCTTTATACGAAGGCGTAGAGGAGCCACATGTAGTTTTGTTTCTTAAATTCCGAGTAAGAATTTCACTAGATTCTGGCTTTAAACTCGGAATTTAAGAAAAAAGTACATGTGGCCCTTCTACGCCTTACTGTCAAATTATTAAGGAAAAATTTGCTCGTTTATCATGCGCTGCCGGCATCCGAAGTAGACGGAATAAATTTTCAGACGGATCAGACAATCTAAATATCAGCACACACAACATTAGCAACAGAAATATTTCCCCAGATTTTATACTCTTCTGAATCTGATATAAAGTTTTCCTAATGTTTCAGCAACAATAAAACGTTTCCCATATTATTAGAAAGGAATTTGCCTTTTATACTCTCGATAGCCAAAAAAGTGTAACTAAATTTTCTAAAGGTACTCTAAATATCAAAGGCTTAAATACTACTCGCACTTTATATTCTCCTGTCTAAACTGGATGTTGTCACTTTACTCAACGAGACCAAGTGTAATCTATGTAAAAAAATCCGCTGAATCCGAAAATCATAGTTCCCCTGGCTAGAAACTCCCGGAACATATTGTTATAAACAGAAAACGAACAAAAAATGGGAAAATGTCGTTTGTTTTCGTATTTGACTTCAATTGTGTCAACTATCGCTCTAAGGGAAAAAATGAAGATATTTATTGGTCACCCAGTGTTTAACCTTGGCCCTGACAACAGAGGGAGCGGTTCCTAGGATAGGCTCGGGTCCCTGCTCGGGTCCGATGAGGACCCGACCACTGCCTTCACAAGACAGCTCGTCCACCCGATTTTACTTTCATTTAAATGGGAACACTTTGCCGGAGGAGTCTCTTTTGCTTCCAATTGTTTTCATCCATTTAATTTTTCGGAAAACTCGCGAGAAATTTACGTTTCAAATGAATGCCGGAGAAAATACCATTTAAAATTGATAAAGCCGGAAGAATTGTTTTCCGTAACCGACCGTAATTCTCCTTTGCCTTTTAAAGCTTTCCCGAGTAACCCCTTCCTATTTTTTCATTAATTAATTGACGCCTTTTTCCAAATGACGTCTAATACTTAAGTTAACCATTTTTCATTACAATCCAATCAGGATTGCTGATAAACTTTCAGAGTGCATGAACCTGGTTATCTCAGATCTGCGTAACTTTTAGGTCAGCTATTTTTGCAACAAAAATCCTACAAGATCAGATTACCTGCTGTATCTCCGACTCACTGGGGCTTAAGACTTCCGGAAACCATTATGAGAACAATACTCCTGTATGTACAGCCACAAGACAGCCTTCGGGGATGGTCCCCAAAGTCTCCCAATTGCGCAACAGTTTGCCAGAAAGCTCTATTTCCATTTTCGGCTTTGAGCTGGATATGTTTTTGTCAAATGTGATTCCTAGACATTTCACTGACTGAAAATTGGAGGTGTTCTTGGAATATCAGGGGAGTTCGAAGAACCCCCTACCTTGCTGTTTCATGTGAAGAGAACTAGCTCCATTTTTGTGGGGTTGATGGACAAAAAGTGTTCCTACACCATTCTTCAGTTATTGTAAGAGCTGATTCCATCAGCCTGCACTCTAAAAATTGGAGGTGTTCTTGGACTAGCAGGGGAGTTCGAAGATCCTCCAGCGGTGCGCTAGTCTTACTGACACCCGCCTTAGGTTAGGGTGTGGGTGTTGGGGTTAGGTTAAGGTTAAGTTAAGCAATTTTAAATTGGAGGTGTCTGTAATTGGATTGAAATTTTGTTACTTGTGTTTAGGAACCCAGTAAATTTAGAGTCCCATTAATGTGAGTAATCCGAGTTTGTGATTTAAGCATTGTGAATATAAATGCAATTAAATTTTGCTTGTAAAACTAGTTTTAAGTCATTTTCAGTGACGAATTGTGAGGTTACTTTCAGAGTATTATACGTATTAATCATTGTGAAACATAAATGGTTATTGGGAACTCGTGTGATTTACACAAATAATTGTGCATTCCGATGAAATCTGTCAGTCCTATTAAAAATGGAACGCGGAGCACAATATAGTTCAGAACTGATGGGAACGGCGAAAGAAGCTAAGCTTCGTATTTTGGACGTCCAAATTAAATACATGCAGAATTTTTAAAAGTTTTATAATAATTTCTGTGACATCTACTATAAAATAAAGTTTTGTATTTGAGTTCGAAGAAAATGCACTAATTTACCATACGATTGAATAATGCAATTGGTTGTAGATATCTGATTAAAAAAGAGACGACTAGCACTTTTATTGAGAAGTATAAGTTAGTCAAAAGGAGACCATGCAAAATTCAAATTCTAAAAAAAAAGTTTTATTTCGTATTGTTCAATACTGGTCAATTTCCAGACCACGCCCTTTGTCCATTCATAGTGGCATTACAAATTATCCTGATCGTGAAAAAGTACAACAATTCAATTGCGGACGTTAGTGAAAATCCAATAAATAGGCCTAGGAGGCCACCCACACCCGATACGAAGTCGAATGGACCAATTAGCTCGTGCCTTTGAACGGTACGAAGCTGTAAATCCTTATAATAAACGTTTAGGGTTGACAGATGCGCGCTAAAATGCATAATTAGCTACTGATTATTTAGATAGTAAAGTACGTCTTAAGAGCTTTGGTGTTGTAGTGTGCATCGCCAAGTTTCTCTACCGCGTCGAAAACTCGTTTCCAATTCCAATCCAGGTGAGAAGTTTCAACGTGGTACAGCAAGTCGAAACATGATGGTAGACAAGCACAACGACGCTCTTCTTCGTGTTCCATTTCCAAATATTTCACTTAAAATGAAATGGATTATTCGCAAAATCACCCCTTATCACTTACATTTGCTGTACTGTACGCACTTGAAGCTGGTTGGACCACAAACTTTCGTTGGCTCACTGAACGCTATAATTCTTACAGCCATAAGTACTTGTTTAGCATATTTTGGCAGCTTACGAGCAAAATAGAATGGAATACATCCGCAACGTGCGCGGGTGAAGTTGGCCAAACACTCTTGCATGCAGTTTTTCTGAGTGTAAACTTTGTAAGTCGCCAAGAACTTTTCTAAGAAAAAATAACACTTTCGCTCTTTCGGGGAATACTGCTGTAGTTCTTTTGACACCACCACCACTGACGGCTTTACGGCAACGTTTACCATATGGTTTAATGGTAGCTTGATGTGTTTATCCATGTTAGGAAGCTCGCACATTGCATGTATAACCACCTGAAAGGCAACACTGTAAGAAAAACAAATCAAAAGAGACAGTACTTTGAATCCCTGTAAAGATCCCTCGCACAAATCATCCAGATGGCTACTGTTGGTATACAGTGAGTCGATGGTTAATCCGCCCCCTAATCCTGGCGTAAAGGTTCTCCGTGGATATTCACCTTCGTCCTTACCAGGTTGATATCCACCGTCAAAGGAAAATTTACGCAGCCTGTGCTGCGATTTTTTGAACCGTTTAAACATGTTCCTTTAAAGCAATAATTTAGCTTATTTGTCTGTTTGGCGCGATACTTACCCGTTTCTAAGCATATCTTCATAAGCCATCATGTTAAACGTGTAGCACACCCCTTGGGTAGTGACACTCAGGTCGAACGCATCAGTAAAATTCAGTAGATTTTCGTTCCAAATAATCTTGCTTACATTTCCGACATCGAAGTTTGGCATCATCTGCTAAGGGATCTGAGACTTGCACCGCAATGTAACCACTTACCTCAAATAACCTATCGGACACATCGTCGATAGAAGTACGATTTAATGTGGTTGTATAAAAGAAATCGTCGTATCTCACAACATTGCGACAAACCAAATATGACAGGTGCAGGTGTTCTCTTCTAAAATAATAGTAAGTTATGTATTGAGTAAACTCAATCTTCGTAGAGGTACTCCTTTGCGGTGAGGGCGACGCCGGACCGTTTCCTACGAACCATTTCGGTGAAGTTAAACGTATCCGGATCAAATTTAGCTTCAGGACATATCGTTACCGCCGGAAACGGTATACTCGCTATTGACCTTTCGATCGTCGCAAATGTCATCACCACAGGAGAGTTTTGCCATTTCAAGTAGCTCTTCCGAATTGAGTATACGCAGAGAACGCAAACGACAACAACAATAATCGTCCAAATTAACCTAGGCAGTTTTCGGTGAACGACACGTTTCAGACCAACTTACCTCTCCAAGGCACTGCGGCCACGTTCTCCAATGTACTTGATACCGTGGATTGTGGTCGCTTCACTGTACTGAACGAGATAAAATTTCACATTTTCCACCAAAGTTTTTGGACGGTGATGCACCGAGACTAAACCATTTTCATTTTCCGGTTGACTAACTCGAATTACCGTAGTTCGATGTGAACCGCCTCTTTTAATTAATGGGGTCCTTTTCCTAGCGGATTTAGTTATTTTTCCAAAGGTATTCTTGTACAGCATCGTGTATTGCTTCATTGCACTGTATTCCACATTTTGGCATAAATTCTATAAGGGAATAGCGCATTGTAATGATTTCCGAGCAGAGACTTGCCATTTCCGAGTCTCACGCGACATAATTAATTCATTTTGCGTGTCTCAAATATTATACAACGTTTCTATTTTTTCTAGGTTTATGTTCTCCTGAATTCACCATTAGGAACTATTCGATCTGGAGGTCATAAGAGTAGGAAAATGGAAATTTAGTTGCAAAACCGTATTTCTGCTGTTTAGTTGTCCAAGTAAACACCTGCTGTTTCGTTATCTCTTTTAACAGCGATATGAACACGCGCGTTAATAAAATTTCGTACGATACTACAACTTCTTATCACAAACGCTCAGATGTCCCTCACATACATTTCAACATACAATACTCAACAATATACATTGTATGTGAAATCAATTCAATATTTGAAAGTTTTATTGAACCGTTAGAAAACTTTAGAACTCCCTCCAGTTTCAAAACATCTGCACTTGCAGAAAGAGAAAGTTTTAAAACAATTTTTGTAGCTACAACCAGTTCTGTAAGGTCTAGAGAAAAGAGAGATTCAGAGCAAGAAGCAAGTTTCGAGAAAGGTCAAAAAGCATCGGAAATAGTTGAAGCTTTAACCGGTGTTTTGAGAAATAAGGAATTTTTCGTGGGGATTCTGTTGGTTGCCATTATACCAGAGGCGTACTATTCTTTTGAATTCTTTTTATTTTTTTTAAGTATATCGAAATTCTTTTATTTCCCTTTATATAAGTTGTTTTCCCTTTCCGCCATTTATTCATTTTTCTTTTGTTCCTCTAATTTTGCACTATCCCCTATAATTTAATGCGCATTTTTCATTCACCATGCGTTCTACATTCTGTGTTGTACTGATTTTCCCGCCTTACGTTTAAATTCCCGCCTTTTGTTACTTCCGCCTGGTGTCCGTTACTTTTTGATTTTCCCCCAAATTTTGTCCGTGATTAGGTGTTCATTCTTCTCTATATTTTCCGGAGATCATTGAATGATCGTCTTTAGTGCGTGCATGAGGTAAGGAAAAGTTTCAATTTTTCCATCCAAGTTTTGACATCTATAAAGCTCCGAAAAGTTATTATTTTAATTCCGCTCATATTTTGGGGATCCGGCTTATCAAATTATACACGCCGTTTTGATTTCTTTAAGCCACAGCTATGTGCAGGGTGTTACATATAAGTACCTACCTATGTAAAAAAAATTGAGTGGTAGAGGGGATTAAAACAAACACTTTCTCCAAATATTCCGAGGGCCCAACGTGTTTCATTTGGAAGCCCACCCCCAAAAAAGTGGTGAAATTTGCATTTCTTTCTGAATTTTTCTCTCAGCAACCATATAAGAGTTAGAAAGACTGGTGGACTAGTGATTTAAATAGCTTATTGTTTGTAGAGAAGGTAATTATATGAGTTTTATCTGCATATATTGTTCTTATTAATCCAGGTTATTAAATGTATAAAATTTTGATTTCGATATTTATGGTCCGAAATGAATTGAAATATCGCCAGCATATGCAAAAGCGTGATGAGGATGTATATAATCGAAAAAGTCAAGTATATAATAAAAAGTAAAGGCTCTAATATAGAGCCCTGAGGAACTCCATGGTTAGTATTAATTAACTGATGAATATATTCCACATTACTTGTGATTATATAGGCAAATTGACATTAATGTTCCCGCAAGTCCTCAATCCCATGTAATTGAAGCTTATCTAACATAATTTCAAACGAAACGCAGTCATTTGGACAAATGACAGTATGTTCCCCGTTCTCCCAGGATTTTACAACTAGACGTATAATTTGACCAAAAGCTTCTGTTGTAGAATGGTTTTTTGGAAATCTATGACCACAATTTAATAATGCATTACGTTCTAGATAGTTACATAATCTTTTAATTAAAACAACTTCAAAGGGTATGGAAAACATTAGTATTATAGGAATTGGTCTATAATTGTCTATGTTCTTTGTGTCTTCCTTCTTGGCAACTCAGGAAAATTACCTTCTGAGATACAACAGTTATAAATGAACCAAGAAATTAATGCACATGCAGGATGTAGAATCGGTTTACGCACCATTGTGATTTCAATTCTAATTTTTTTATATCGAATTTTCCCCTAATTAATTTAGAGCGAGGTTTTAAGTAAGATTCTTGTAGATTGAAGAATTCTGCGCCTGCTCATGTCCCCCTTTATCATTTTTCAATTCGGGAAACCGAAAAAATTAAATAACTGTAAATTTGTAATGCTCTGCATGGACGAATTTTGGTTTAAAGAATGCTGTGAGCATGAGTAATTTTTACTAAAAACGTTACTGGAAAATAATTAGGGGAGAACATATTTCAATATAAAGAAATGACCATCGAAATACTTAGTAAACCATGTATTGTATTTTTAATTAATTTATTGTTAATTTGGGAATAATCAGCACAAAATCAAAATGAATTAACAGCGTGAAGAACCTCGCACCTTGATACAGGGGTTCAGAAAAAAGTACCAGTTAAAGTTAATCGATGATGTTCAAATTTTTTAAGTAACAATACGTTCGTTCTTGGAGGTTTAGGAAAAGACGGAACTGCTCAGAATTTTGAGGTCTTTTCTTGAGTTCTGAAGCAACAGAGGCGGTTATAGAAATAGGCACCCCTCCCAAGCGATGCATGGTAAGGGCGATTTTGGTTATATAATAATGCAGTTTCAAAGAAGCAAATGGATTCTGTGGATTTATGTGGTTTTTGTACACAGGGTGTTCATTTGAAAATTTCCCACCACGGATTTATCGAAAACCACTGATTAAAAGAAAAAACGCCGAGACACGTCAAAAGATTTATCAAGAGGGACAACTTTATAACCAAAACTACTTCACCCCCTTTCACGCTCTGTCACACAGGATCATTCCCTTAAAAATGTTAAATGGCAAGTGGTATAGAGTAATATCTAGTTTGAAAAGTTTTTCGAAGTTCTTTATTTTACCGTTTTATTTTTTAAAATCTATCGATTCGTTTTCGAGAAAATTAGAAAAATTTAATTTATTTAATCTACCTATCTTAATTTGTTCAGATAGAAAACAAAAACAAACGAAAGTATCATTTATTTGTTGCTATGGAAAAGAAAGAATTTAATTTGCTCTCAGTTACCTTTGTGACAATTTTGGGATAGTGAAAATTAATTTATTGATTCAGATTTTACCTCCAAATTTACACACTAACCGAAAGAGTGGAAGATTTTCTAATCTATGGCGCCCAAAATCCCATCATCGACAAATTTGCCAAAACCGATCCCTCCATATGGAATTCGAAACTAACAGTTCTTCATACCCCAGTGAAACCTTTTTCCGGGGAGCTCGCTGTGTACTCACTTTTTGTATCAACATACCCAAGCAGCATTTCAGCTCGCCCCTAGATATTTTAGGGTCGGCAGCATTTTGGAAGAGGGTAATCCACCAAACTGTCGTCCAAAAACTGGGAGCACGTTCTGGTAAACCGAATAACTTGGTTTTCTAAACGATTTTGAGCTCCAAGTAGCCGACAATCCATTCATTTTTTACATCCTTTAAACATGTTGGTACCTTCTAAGTTGATGCTACTGTTTTCGAACGTGATGCTGCACTGCACCGGTACTTCGATTGCAAGTATAAGGTGTTTCAGATTGTTTCAATGCACTGAGATGAGCGATTCAATGATTTTTTTCTCGAAAGTTTAGGAAAAAACCGAACTGCTCAGAATGTTGAGATCTGTTCTGAGGTCGTTACTCAGAATTCTGAGGTTTCCAGGGGTCCTCTCGTGCAAGAACGAATTTTCATAAATATCACATACTTTCAGAACCATTTGAACTATAATTATTTAAATCAAAAGAAACAAATAGTCACTCCTCCCAAGGGCTGCATAGTAAGGGCGACTTTTTTAAAATAACGCAATTCCAGAGTAACAAGTAGCTACTGTGCATTTATGTGGTTTTTTGGTAAACTACTTAGGTAAATAATAATCAATCAAAGAATGAGTAAAGTTAGTTCAGGGAGGAGGCAAATTTATAGATCGGTACAAAAATATTTGGTCCACTGCAGCAGTGAAATGGAAAAATGAACTTCGTAATCGAAAATCGACCACCAGTTAAAATTCATCTTTAAACGTACACGCCACTGTCTCTGCTATTTCAAATTTGAAAACGTTCGCTAACCAGTTGAAAGATAAGCAGGTGGTACAAAACTGACCTCTCCGGCCTATTCATTAACGGCTATAGATAACGCATGGCCTGATGCCTGGGTAAGTTATATCATTTCGTGTTGCGCGTTAGAGGTGTTCGCAACGTTTCGTTCGTGTTTCCGTGGTGGTTCGAGCTAAAACCGAAAAGGGTAAGTTTTTCACGTATAATATAATATATATAATATAATAGTTACGCTTTATAAACCAAAACCGCATCTACTCATTTTTATCAAAAAGGGAATTTCATCCATTCCATTCCCTTTCAGCAAACGTATCCTCCAAAGGATACAAAAATTTAATTGTCTTTAGTAGATTCGGTTTGTTTATACACATTTTTGACCGTTTGTTCTGCAAACGTAACATAAATGGTAATTACTCCTCGATTATGGTAACTAAGTAAGTCACTTTACAAAATTTTGAGTTCGTACAGCATGAGATAAAGTCCAAAAAAGTAATTATTGATCATACAGTTAAACTAAAAGTACGTCGAAAGTGTAACATGATTCGAAACTTTCTTCCTATTATTATAATTAAATTAAATTTTGAATTGTCTTATCGCGCATATGTTTGGACGGCACGCGTTAGTCATCTCTACACACCTGGGCCCGTAACTAACAATTCGATTTCTTTCTAGAAAATATTTTTATCTTTCGTGGCTTATTTCTACACATAATTGGATTTCCCGATTCCCTTTTGGTCTTTAAAATCGCAATGGCGATTTCGTAAAAAAATCGATGTATATACACAACTTGATATCCTACTTCCCTCAATCGATCTACCTTAAATT